ATCTTGTCTAATAAAAATAAAATTTTTCTATATTTAGATTGCAAATAAATCCAGTTTAAATCTGTATTAGAATTAAAAAATTAATTCTTTCTTACAGATTGAAATTTCTGTTAATGTGTTACTTTAGCTTAATGCTTGCAAATGAGGTAAAAGGAAAATGTAGAAATATCTATGGAAATGATTTTAAAAATCAAAAATGTTTCTCATTAGTTAAAAAAAATCTCTGGAAAGAACTGTTCCAAAGCCTTGTCCATTTGAAATCATTTTTAATGAGAGGAAAAAAATGTTTGTCAATTCTCAATACAGTGAATTCTATTTAAGTGAAATATGCAGGGACAACAGAACTGGACTTTAAATAGTTTCAGAATTTTATGCAAAAAATTTCCCATTTATTTCTATTGAAGATTTTCCAATAATTGTAGCAATCTGTATTTCCAGATAATATATTCTTCAGGGTGAAAAATTCAACATTATCTCATGAAATAACAGTAAAACTTTAACTCCAATCCATGAAATAACAGTAAGAAATGAATTCCTACCCATGAAATAAGTCAAAATTCAGCTCCATCCCATAGAATAAAGGTAAAACTTAAACTCCTTCCCATGAAATAAAAGTAAAAATTCAGTTCATTGCTTCAATATTTCAGGTTCTTAACTTTTAAATATGATTTTCTTTTAAGTTGGGTGAGTTTAAAACTTTGGATTCTCAATATACAAAGCAAAATGGCTTCCTTCCGATCGATAGAACGCAAAATTTGCTTTAAATAAAAATGAACTAAACGTAATACAATTATTAGATCACATTTGTATATTTTTTTATATAAATTACCATATTAAATTTACAGAAGAGGAATATAAGATTAAAAAAACAAAATAACTGTATTTTAAAACCTGAACCAATTTTGATATCAAATCTGTTGTATATTAATTGTTTTTCAAAACTTTTAGTCAGTTAATGTTACCAATCTATAACTGAAACAATGTTATAAAGCCAAAAATATTTTGGTAGAACTGATCTTGTTGGTCATGTGACACCTGACTTTATTCACAAAGTTTGCTTATGATATTGAGGACAATGCAATCACTAAGATAAAATGGTAATAATACAATGCATCTCGTTTATTTTTTCATCTATAAAAATTGCTTATGTAATTCCTTCTCAATGGATTTACATAAAAAGTATAAAATAAGCAGTTATTCCTCATAAGCAATGCTTCATTTAATTTGAATCCATTGTGTTCATTGAGCAAAGAAAAAAATAAATGTGATTGATTACAATAGTTCTATATTTATTTACATTATCTTTGGACCTTTCTGAATGGAAGAGATTTTCATAATTTATTTTAAATCCATGCAATATAAAAAAACAACCTGTGATGTCATATGTAGCCTCAAATGTATAACATCTGATCAAAAAGTATCAGGACTATTGCTATGGTAATAGAGCTAAAGTATGCAATGAGAAACCACTTAGCACAGATTGAGATTGAACTCTGTCACGCATACGGATTAAGTTATAATGTTCTCACTTACTACCGTTGTTTGTAGACATGCTTTGAAGAAAAGTGTGTAGGGTGCAGGGTTGTCTCACCACACCACAGTGGTTCCATCAGAGACCATTTCTTGTAATTTATTTTCCCATTAAGGCACATGACTATAAACTAAACAAATCTGTCCCATAATGATTGGTACATTTAGTGTATGAAATGTGTATACAAATGTACCAACTATTATGGGACAGAGGTAGTAATAAATAATTCCAATCCCAAATTGGAAGGATTGCTGCTAGTTCTAAGCTGGTTCTCTTTAATCCTGATATGCTACAGTGTTTCCATAAAAATTGATTGCAATATATTAGACTACCTCTGTCCCATAATGATTGGTACATTTAGTGTATGCAATTTGATATAATTAGGCAGTAAGTAATCTGGAATCTAAAAAATGTATTTATTGGAGATACCAAAGCATTAACAAATGCATAAGGTGAAAGGATTTGATAAAAGCAACACAAAACCTTGAAGGTGAGAATGAATTAGAAATTCTTTCAATTTAGGTAACTCAGTCCACTTAGATGGTCTCTGATTAAAGATGGTTTCAAGTATGTAGTTGTGACTCCCAAGTTGCTTTGTCTGCACCATCCTTCAAAACAAAAATCCTTCTCAACACCTGACCATGATGCTCTCCCACTACTAGTCCAGCATATGAGCAGTGACGATCAATGTGTCAGCACCCAGGTGAGATACACAACTCGTTAAGACCAGCCTTAACAGGCTGTGTATCTCACTGTGTAACTGGCAAGCAAATCTGAATGGAATGTTTCTTAATTAACCAAGACAAAACATGTGCATGTTAACACCTCCAATCAATTAAGATCAGAAATCATGATAGCCATACCTGGTGTAACATTAGAACGTTTTTTGTTGTTATTATTATTATTTCCAATTTTAATGACTTGCTGTTTGATAGATTCTTTTTCCAAATCTTTTACCTTAGAACAAAGGTAAGGGTAGTGTAATTTTGGGGCCCTGAAGCTTGAACAGCTATGGGGGAAGGGGACCCTTCACAAGATAATTTTGAAATTGACCAATTACAGGTGAATTTTAAAATGATATGAAATGGTATTAGAGTTTATTCTAAGGGCAATATTAGATGAAGCCACTGACAGACCTACATTTCCAGGTCCCTTGAGGCTTGCATAGATATGGCAGCCCCTTCACACTCAGCAACAATAGATTTGAGTATCCACTTGCCAAAATGTAGGCTATTAACAGATTCTGGCAAGCGTAACAAGCCTATACAGCTGAGAGTTCAGGTACTGTAAGCCCAAAAGAAAATTTTTAAAATTTGACCAATTACAGGGGCATTTTGAGGCCGTAGGAAATGTGCATTAGATCATATTCCAAGGCCAAACTTACCTACTTCAGCCCATTGGCTTATGATTCTATCACTATAATGGCTTTATTTTAATAAGAAGCACTTTACAAAAAAAACATTGATTTTGTTGAAAAATTCATTCAATAAAAATGTTGCTTCCCAAATAATGTAACTGTAGCCATGTTCTATTTTAATATTTTCTTCTCTAGCACTTCACTTATGTGGAACCCTTTTCAAGCATCTTGTTTTCTTGTCAATCTTCAAAGATTTAAATACAATGTCAATCATCATTTTCTGTCTCCTAGAATCCTGTTCTTTTTATTGTCCTTTCTCTTCAGTAATGTTTTCTCAGTTTCCTTCATTCTCAGTAACCCCTTGCATCTTAGTGGCTTTATCACCTTCCTTGAGGGTAAATGATTAAAAAAATCTTCTGTCTCCTTGAATCCTGGTCTTTTATAGTCCTTTTTCATCATTAACATTTTCTCAGTTTCCTTCATTCTCAGTACCCCCCCACCCTTTGCATCTTAGTGGCTTTATCTCCTTCCTTAAAGTGAAATGATTAAAAACTCTTCTGTCTCCTTGAATCCTGTTCTTTTCATTGTCCTTTCTCCTCAGTAATGTTTTCTTAGTGTCATTCATTCTCAGTGACCTTCCTTGAACTGAAATGATTAAAAACTCTTCTGTCTCCTTGAAATCTGTTCTTTTTATTGTCCTTTCTCCTCAGTAATGTTTTCTCAGTTTACTTTACTCTCAGTAACCCCTTACATCTTAGTGGTTTTATTGCCTTGCTTCAGGTTAAATAATTAAAAAAACTGCATGGAGAGTCTAACTACTCAGAACCAAACTGTTAATTTTGCATATGTCAAAACCAACAGGTAAATCCATCTAAGTTGGATCAGTATTCTTTTTAATCATTCCTAGTTCTCCTATTATTATTGGAATCATGATTGTATTTAAGTGCCACATTCTTGCTATTTCTATTTTCAGATCCTTATATTTTGGAAGTTTTATTTTCATTTATTTATTTATTATTATTTCCTTTGATTTCTGTTTTATACACATTTCCTTTAGGGTCCCAACCAGAGACCTAAGGTCAGAAATGGCATCATGACATTTCCCACTGATTATTTTTTAACCTAAAAGCGCACACACATTTTACATTGATAAATCCCTTCATACACTGTCAGCTGTACTTGCATGAACATTTTTTTTTATAATTCTTTAAGGCATGGGCTAACAGGAATCCCTTCAAGGAGTCTATTAGAACTTTTTCCAATCAGAGCAAGGGCCCCAAATACAACTGGAATTGTTGATGTCCTCATGTGCCACATTTTTGAAATTTCAAGATCCTTGTATTTTGATAGTTTTTTTTTTTTTGAAGATCTTCCAAGATACATTACAGTCTGCAAGGACTGCCATATCAATAAGAACGCATGTTTTGTTTTTGTGGTCTTTGATTTTTCTGTCTGTGTGTATTGTAGGGTCCCATAAACTTGTTACTGGTCCTATGTCTATAACTGGGTCTGGGTAGTGTTCATACCAATTTCTTTCAGTTTCCTTTCTATAAAAGTTGCAGATTTTCCAAGAGAGATATTAACCCACTCTGGCATGCCTTATTATTTATTTATTTATTTATTATTATTATTATTATTATTACAGTTTTATTATTATTATTATTATTGCAGTGATATTTATAATTATTATTGCAGTGATATTTATTATTATTATTATTGTGATATTTATTATTATTATTATTGCAGTTATTTATTATTATATTTTATTTTTATTATTATTATTAGTGATATTTATTATTATTATTATTGCAGTGATATTTATTATTATTATTATTATTGCAGTGATATTTATTATTATTATTATTATTGCAGTGATATTTATTATTATTATTATTATTATTTATTATTATTATTATTATTGCAGTGATATTTATTTATTGATATTTATTATTATTATTATTGCAGTGATATTTATTATTATTATTATTGCAGTGATTTTATTTTTATTATTGCAGTGATATTTATTTATTATTATTATTATTATTATTATTACATATTTATTTATTATTATTATTATTACTACAGTGATATTTATTATTATTATTATTACAGTGATATTGCTCCTGAAGACATGTCAAGAGATTGTCTTTAGAAGTATGGGATTGGGACCGCACATCCATAATGACTTTATGGGTTCTTTGTCTTTCGGAATATCTGAACTGATGAAGAATCCTGTGGAGGGCTGGTTCAAGCTGCTCAATCAGGAAGAGGGAGAATATTATGGCATACCTGTCCCAGACGAGGTGGCACCCACCATTCAGGAAATGAAAAGTAAATTCGAGGTAAACCTTTCATTGTTTCTCTACCAACACAGTCGCCAAAAGATTTTCTAACAGATTTTAGATTCTGTAAAAAGGGGGGTGCGCATGTGCTGTGCTGTGAATATATTTTGTAACATGTGTCACATCTGTTTGGGGGGCGGTTGCAAAAAGTATTCTTCCTTTTGGCCTTGAAACTCATCTTGTGACCACACCTTGAGTTTTGTATTATCTGCTTCCTCTTAATGATTAATGCTACCCACATGCTAGAATGCAAAAAAAAAAAAAAAAACATATGTGACATGAGGGTAAGTGGGGTGCAAGCAGTCCCCAAATAGGCTTTAACAATGTTCTGGAATACAACAAACATCCGAGGAAGACTGGAGGCTACACATCTTTATATTGTGGAAATAAAGCAAAAAAAAGGAAAGGAATTTGAATAAAACTGCATGTAATGATCAAAACAGCTTGTTTAATAAAATTCATGCAAGTTCTTATTTTCTATTATCAAACTTCAGTCATCATTGACAAAGAATATAGCAGTTAGTTTTATTTTTACAGCTTGGTTAAATAATGAAGCTCATGTATTCTTTTTTTTTTTTTTTTACAAATAGTGATTAGTAATTTCCTTATAAGGAAATGCTCAGCATTTATTGAATAAACAGCTTATATCAGTTGTTCAGTTGATTTTGTTTAGCAGCATATCAACACCTCTATGGGTTATTTAATGTCAAAATCTAAATATTTTTAACACAATTTTATGGCTTCAATTAAATATATTTTGAACACAATTACATGCCTTCAACTACAGATAAAATATATTGTTGGTCATTTGACAATAAATAGGTTTTTGTTGGTAATTTTTTAAATAAAATATATTGCTGGTATTTTTATACTTTTATCATGTCTTGCTTTTGTTTGGGGTTCACTATTTGCCCATAGCTGAGATCCTAACAGGTGCTACCACCATGGGTCAGGGTGGACCTGGAAACAATAACAATTAAGAGGTGCTTCCAGGCTCCTCAAAACCTTCAGTCTTTAGATCAAAGGCCTTGCTGCCAGATGTAGTTTATCATCATACCCAGAACTAATAAGCAGTTTGTACTACTTTCAGTTGAAATTTATAAAATCTTATTCTGTGATGTAATGAATATGCATACACCTGGGTTCCCCCTCTCAGTAATATGATTGGCTGGTGTCAGCCATAAATACAGACTGATGTGGAGATACATGGAAGACGCCTATTGCCTAAGCCTATTGCCTACCACTACGACAAGGACCAGTCCATTACAGTTACCTGCTAGATTGTCCTGCCCGGTTACAGTAGTCAACAACCACTTTGCTATTTTGAACAAATATATCCCTTTCCACTCTGAAAACAATTTTCAGGAAAATAGGTTTCTTAAGTCATGCTGTTATGGCTCTTTCCAGTATTGATGGGGGTTTCCTTTCTAACCTTTTGTTTGAAGTAGTGTGGAATGTCAACATGTTGATTATAACATTATTTTCTTTTCAAGTTATATCAATTTTAGTTGTTGCTGCTGTTGAAAGTCCTTTCTCTTATTTGATACTTATGTTTTTGATTCTGCATCACCAGTTCATAAGGTCAAAAGAAGTGTGGACATTGCCAAGATTCACAGACTTTGATTGTATGCAGTTGACAGTTTAGATATTTCTGAACAGGTTCGGCACCATACATGATATCCATATAAAAGTCTTGATCTGATAAGGCCATTTAAGAACATGACTTGAGTTTACTATTTACATTATTAGGACTATTGTCCTCATCTTTGTCACCATATTTATTGCAACGTTTTGACCATTACTCCGGCCTTCAGGGTCCAGGGTGACATTTCAACCACCTGAAGGAGGTTGGAGCGTACAACAGCCAAAACACTGTAATAAATATGGCGACAAATCAGACAATAACGACAAATCATCTCAGGACAATAGATACTGAAATAATATGTGAAAATAGTGTGTACATAATACCTCATCTCAGAAATATAGACAGATACTGAAGGCCCGAACGTTGTAATAAATATGGCGACAAAGATGAGGACAATAGTCTGAATAATGTAAATAGTGTACATAATACCTCATCTCAGAAATATAGACAGATACTGACTTAAGTTTTCAGGTTGATGTTTTGGTTATGGAGCAATGGACAGTGTTGTGTGAAACTACCTCTGGTACAGCCTATTCTCTGTTCAATTTCCTTTTCTCCAATACTAAATTTACTATAACTGATCCAAGATGAAGCTCTTCTTCCTGATTACAACATTAGATGACAAAGGCTAGAGTTAACCAATTATCTCCCCATCCTATCTGTATAAACTGCCTCTTAATGTAACCCTCTACTGCAATTGCCACCCCTAGGTGCTGTATAGGTTGAACCTTACTGTAAAAAAAAAATAAAATGCAATGAGGTATTTGAAGTGTTTAGTATTTACTAATTTCACATGAACTTTTATGATGGATTCAGTGTAGGTGTTGTCCTTGTTTTCATTCCAGTTTCAGATCATAGTTTCGATTTTGGAAAGGTTTGTCTTCAGTCCTATTTCTCAAAACACTTGGTAGAGGATGTTGATTTTCTGTTCAAGATCTTATCCAAGCTACAGATAACTGTGTCATCAGCATACTCTCTTAATCATCAGTACATTGGCCTCAGGAGACAAAGCAGTCTCATTGTCTTCTATTGGTAGATTCATTTGGGATGTGGCCTGGAATACTAAAATGACCAGTGCCCATCTCTTCATATTTGTGTTTGAAAATGTGCAGGGCATAGTCTAAGAAAAGATTAAATAGACCAGAGCTCTCATTCCCTTCTTGTCATATTCTTAATGAGGTTTGACATATTTCCATATTGGAGTCCTCACCAGACATGTAAGATTTTTTTAGATCGAAAAGATCCTCTATTATATATTCCATCATTAAATTCCTTACCAGAATGAAAGTCAAACTGGGTTGTAAGGAATTGCCTTTCATAAAATGAAGAGAGTCTGGTTGATATAATGTTCATGCACTTTCACCATAATAGATTTAATTGAGATACCTCTGTATGTGTGAGGGTTTTGAGGGTTACATTTTTGTTTCCAAGGTGCATTAATGCATGATAAACTCCACTTTTTTGGGGATGCATTTCTGGTAACAGACTTCTTTCATAAAATAGAGAAACTTGTTATTGAATTCAAAGAGAAAGTAAGCTATTTTCAAAATGTCAGCCACAAAGTCATGTGATAGCTTTATTAATTTTCTCATCAGTAGGTTCATTATTGTTTATGTTTGGAGACTGATTTTGCAATGATTGGATGTATATTTGTATATTTTCTGTTTCTATGGGCACTTTCTTTTTCATGTGGTCTAGGTTGAAATGGGATTCAAAGTGTTTTTTGAGACCAGGACATTTCTTCTGTGATAGTCTTGATTGTATTCCAAGTTCAGAAAATTTATCAAGCAGGAATAGTCGGCCACTAAATCATGAGAATACTGACAAGGCACTTTCGCATCTAGCCAAAGACATTCAATTTTCCCTTTTTTTCTGATTTTTCTTTCAAAACGGGATTTCTAACTAGACCATCAAGTAGGTTAGAATGATTAGGACAAAATGTGTTACTATGGGCAAACACACTGACGAGTAGGGGGAGAAAAAAAAGAAAAAATACAATAAAATAAAATAAAATTTAAAGATTAAAAAAAAAAAAAAGAATTAAAGAAAATCGAAAAAAGATTAAAATGAGTTTTCGGTAGAGCGAAATTATACTCACACAGGGCATCAAGTATTTGTCCGCTTTCTTCCTCATGATAACAAGTGAATGTACAGCTTACCTTAAGTCCAAGCATCGACCTGGTTTGGGGGGGGGATCAACGGCCAATCCACCGCCCTCACCAAATAGTGGGCTTGGAAGGCATGCTTTCAATAAAAATTAAGAACAACAGGAGAAAGATTGGCGAAAACAATTCCAAGTTCAGAAAATTTATCAAGCAGGAATAGTCGGCCACTAAATCATGGGAATACTGACAAGACACTTTCGCATTTTTTTTTTTTTTTTGCTTCACATTTTAACATATTGTCAATGCTGCTGGCTTCATTAATTTTGTTTCCAATTTTCTAGAGATATTGTTTTCTTAAAGAGTTAACTAGTTGTTTTTTTTTTTTTTAGTTTGTTAAATCCAGTTTTTACCTCTTCTGTTTGTTTCTTTCTCGTATCAATTTTATCAACTTAGGATTGTCACCCCACAGGTATATCTTATTTTATTCTCAGAATGGTTTCAAGCACATCAGCTAATGAAGATATGATAACATTATTTGATTCGTCTCTGTAGTTTTGGTCAAGACCTATTGCCATCAATTTGAGCTCTAGTTTATTAACAAATTTGAAATTTATCCTTTCATCTTTAAAGGCTTAGATGTTATACATCAGTGTTTTTCATTGTTTGGTGAAAATGGCAATTAGAAAGGAATCAAGAAGAAAAAAGCAAATTTTAAAAACACTTGACCATTTTCATTCCTCTCTCATCAGAGCTCAATCAAGGAATTAAAACATTTTTTATTCATTGTATACAGTATTTTAATTCTTTGATCGATCTCTGATGAGAGAGAAACAAAAAACAGTTACCAATTGTTTCTAAAAAAATATTTCACATTTCTTTGTCTTGCCACTTAGAGAGGCTTTATTTTCTTTTGTTTAATTTCTTCATCATTTTTTATATGTTCGTTTTTATAGCAAAAATACAATTGTTTCTATGCCATCATTTTCATATGAAGATCTGATATTTAACACGTCGACTGCCAGAGGTCAATTATGAAATCTGACTTCAAACACCAACTTTATAATAACCAACTTAGACCATGAAAAGGCTTGCTTCAACTGAAGTCTTAACACTGTTTTCACACTAAGAGTACCAAGCAATTAATAATGTCATTGGTGCCACAGATGAAAATACACCAGAAAATGCCAAGCACAAGATAACTAGTAGTCAGTGTAATAACAGTTAACCATGAGTTCTCTTGTGTTTGGTAGAGAATGTATTAATAATAAATTAAAAGTGAAAAGTGGTGAGCTTATTTTGATTCGACTTGTCTTAGTTAAAATGTGCATTATACACTGCCAACACCTCATAAATAATGGACTATTCTATTTTCATCATGTGGAAAGATGGAAAAGATATATCAGAGACACTGTTTAGTTATAGAGAAAAAATAAAAGAAAAAACACAAAGGAAAATAAAGGAAAGTGTTTAACATCTGTTTCAGCATAATGGAAAAAGTTGTCAGTTTGAAATATTTTATTTGTACCCCCTTACTTCTTTAATTAATGACCAGCATACATATTTAATGATGCAATAGGGGAAATTATAGGGATATTTTATTTTTTGCTTGAATTTCTGGGATGAGGAGTTAGCATTATTTACACTATTTGTAATTGAATTATTGTCCTCATCTTTGCTGTTGTTATCATTACATTTTGGTCATTGTGTTCTCTGGACTTCCTCAGGTCTATATCGATCTGGGTAACCTACAAGGAATTCTTGACTGAACTCTTCATTTAATCTACAGGGGTAAGTTACCCAGATCAATATACACCTGAGAAAGGTCAGAGGGTACAACAGCCAAAATATAATGATAACAACAAAAAAGACGAGGACAATATTCCGAATATAAATACAGTGAACCTCAGTTCACAAATTTAATTCGTTCCTGAAGGCCGTTCATAAACTGAAATGTTCATAAATCAAAATTATTTTTTGTTATAGTGGAACACACCTATTCTATAGTTAATAGACTCTCCCACCTATAATAAGTAGGAGTAGTAAGAGTAATGAGTGGCTCGGTGAATTGGTCAGTCAGTCGATGTCGGACGACCGTTAGTCGGATATTAAAGTATCAGCCACCACAACTAGATTACTGCGTCATTACCTATTATATCAAGTTCCTAATGTTTTGTATATCGAACCTATTTTAGGACTGACTTAGTACAAATACAAGCCTTCGCTGTGAAACCACTACACAACAAATTGGCAACGAGCGATTCGAACTCACACAGGGGAAGAAAAACCTTTTGCACACTACATAACATTTTTCCAATAGAAATAAATGTACAGAAAAAAATTCATAGTACAATAAAATTGGAAAAAAAAAAACACAACAAACAAATGCAAACAACATGATGGTCAACTCAGAAATTATTTTGTTTGTGCTAACTCGGTTTGGCTACATTGTTTGAAAGCCAAAATTATGTTCAATAATCGAGGCATTTTCATCTCAAATTTTCTGTTTGGCATGTGAGACAATCAAGAACCGAGGTTCCACTGTAAGGATGTTTTATTATCATAGAGATCACCATGCGCTTATTGAATCATTAAGTTAAAAATTAAGATTCACCAGAAAAATTCAATTCAAGTGAAATTTTCACAGGTATTGCTAGTCACCAAATAATTTGGGTTAGAATTTAAAATTAATAAAATGATTTTAAACGTTTTTTTTTTTCCACAGAAACAACAAATAGCTGATGGAAACTTACCCTATTCTACAAATGATCAGAACATGAGTAAACAGGACATTGTACGAGCAAGTGATTTCAACTTCTTGACTGTTCTGGGTAAAGGCAGTTTTGGAAAGGTACTTTCTAATATTTTTTAATTTTTATATTTTATTGTTATTTGGAATTAAATTTGAAATGATACAGAAACTATCAGAACCTGGCTGACACAAACTCAATACACATGTAGTATTCCTGAAAGAGCAGTACAACTCCTCACTTAATCATCAAATACATACACACACACACACACATATATATATATATATATATATATATATAAATCAAATGGCTAGATATAAGCAAAGATGTATGCACATGTGGTTGTGTATAGGTGGGAATGAAATGTAAACATAATAGTGCTCAATGTGCTTATACAGAGCAAAGATATATATTAATTAGTACATAACAACATAGATCCCATACCTGACAAGCTGGTAATCCAGTGAAACTCTTGTCACACACCAAAACATAGTCACATGTATATGTACTAAGTAATATATATATATATATATATATATATATATATATATATATATATATATATATATATATATATATATATATATATATATGACAATAGGAAAACTGTAATAGTTGCTGGCGTGTTTAGTCCAATATGGACTTTCTCCACATTAGATGAAAGCATTGCATTACAGTTTTCCTATTATCATTATATTTATAAATATTGTCTTTTCTACAGGTTAACTCTGAAATTTATATATATATATATATATATATATATATATATATATATATATTTAAATTTCTTTAAATAAATATATATATATATATATATATATATATATATAAATTCCTCAGAGTTAACCTGTAGAAAAGACAATATTTATAAATATAATGATAATAGGAAAATTGTACAATTAATGCGTTTCGTCCAATGTGGAGAAAGTCCATATTGATCTAAAACATCGCCACGTCACTATTACAGTTTTCCTATTGTCATATATATATATATATATATATATATATATATACACACACACAATTCATATTTATATAGAATCTGTTGATCTATAATAGAGGAAAACAGCATATAAACTACCTAATCAATTTGTGTAAATGGTTGGCAGAACAGGGTTTATGAAAGATAGTGAAAAGATCAAATTTACTAAGAGCTGCAAAAAACAGGAAATTGTGGAGAGCCATGATTGCCAATATTCTGCAGAGATACAACACAGAACAAAAAGCTAGTGTAAATGGCTGGCAGAACAGGGATTAGGAGAGATAGCAAAAAGACAAAATGTACTAAGATCTACAAAGGACAGGAAATTGTGGAGAGCCATGAACACCCACATTCTGAAGGAATACAGCACATAACAGAAAATGATCACATGAATATTTTTGGGGGATTTGCCTAATAACGTCTTTGATTAAATAATCATGTATATTATTAAATATGATAACTTATTTTTAACCAACCCCCTTTTTATTTGTTTTAGGTTGTACTTGCTGAACGCAAAGGTACAGATGAGCTTTATGCTGTCAAAATACTTAAGAAAGATGTCATCATACAAGATGATGATGTTGAATGTACAATGATTGAGAAGAGAGTCCTTGCTCTTTCTAACAAACCTCCATTTCTTGTCCAGTTACACTCCTGTTTCCAGACTATGGTAAGTAATGGTTTTCCTTTTTCCAGCTTTTACGGTATATGGCTTATAGGACTTGTTATAAAATAAGACAAGACATAGCTGATTTGCAGGCAAATAAACTAACATACTCAAGAGCGAGAGCTGGATGGGAACGGGACAAGGCACCGTCACAAAATGACCATTATCGTCGTTTACGCATAGGCCCGACACACGAGTTCCGGTCGAAAAATAAATTTAATATTTTAAAGTGTTTCTATTTTTCAACCAATAAAAATGCTTCCCTCCTAATTATACTCGCATTGTTTTACAAGCCTGTTAAGACATAAAAAACGCCATAAAAGGGGTCACATGGGGAAGTACAACAGCAGTCAACAAGAGGCCAGGGAAGAGACCTGTCACGGTCAGTCAGCAGCAGCCAACAGGAGGCCAGGGAAGAGACCTGCCACGGTCAGTCAGCAGCAGCCAACAGGAGGCCAGGGAAGAGACCTGTCACGGTCAGTCAGCAGCAGCCAACAGGAGGCCAGGGAAGAGACCTGTCACGGTCAGTCAGCAGCAGCCAACAGGAGGCCAGGGAAGAGACCTGTCACGGTCAGTCAGCAGGAGTAGCGCCATGCCAACCAGTGAGAGATCCACCCAGATCGGCAGCCGGCTTATGAATTACACCACAAGGTAGCTGTCCCAAACCCACATGTTCCTATTGAAATAAATCACGTAAATCTATTTCGGCTGAAAATAGTTAATAGAAACAGTATTCAGTATCCATGTGTAACTGTATTGAATGGACTAATTTCATGTTGCCAAGTATTCCCACACATTGTTTCTTGGTGATCTCAGTAATTACTTCTCAACAATTGCCTGGGTTTCCTGCCACAAAATTGTTGATTATTTCTGCAAATCATTCCCAACAACTGCCAGGGATTTTTGTGGTTCATCTTAAGTAATTGCCAGAGGTATCCACAACTCATTTACAACAATTATCAGATTTATTTTCATGGCTAATTGCCAACAATTACTGAGAGCCCTAGCAGCTAGTTTCTGACAGTTATCAGTGATCCTCATGGCTAATTTCTAACACTTTATGATTGTCCCTACAGTTAGTTCCCGATGGTTATCAGAGATCTTTGTCAAGTTGCCATCATTTCCCAAGGATCCCTACAATTATCATGGGTCTTTATGGATGGTGACCAACATTTGCCTAGAGTCCCTTCAGCTAATTTCCAAAAATTATTAAGGATACTTATAGCTAGTTACCAGAAATTACTGATAATACCCTGAAGTTAGTTGCCAGTAATTATCAGCTAACTCGCCAGCTCATTCCCAATAATTGCTGGATGTCCCAGCTGTTTGAACCCAACTATTATAAGGGGTCCTTTTGGCCAGTTTGCTAACAATTGTTAAGAGTTCCTGCATCTCGTTACCAAGAAATATTAGGATTATTTATGGGTAGTTGGCAGCACATTCCCACAATTATCAAGGTACCTTACGGCACATTGCCAATAATTCCTTGTGATGTTTTCTTTGATGGTATATTACAACAAGTTATGGGTAAATAAACTAATTACATTGCAGCTAAGAACCAAATGTAAATAAATTTTTATTTTTGTTAATTACCTTCAAAATTCATTTAAAAGGAATTGCTTTTGTTTGCTTTTGAAAAAGTAAACAGTTAAAAATTAGTAAACATATTAATCATAATGATGATGTCTGTCTATAATAACTGAAATGAGGTATTTTAACTTTTACATTGTTCAGACTGTTGTCCTCATCTTTGTTATCATATTCATAATGTTTCAGCCATTGTATGCTCCAGCTTTCTTTAGGATCTGTCGATATTTCTAAGATGAGGTATTGTAATTATTTACAGTATTTACATTGTTCTGACTGTTGTCCTCATCTTTATTGACATATTTACAATGTTTCAGCCATTGTATGCTCCAACTTTCTTTAGGATCTGTCAATATTTCTAAGATGAGGTATTGTAATTATTTACACTATTTACATTGTTCTGACTGTTGTCCTCATCTTTATTGACATATTCACTACATTTCAGCCATTTTGTACATGGTCCAGTGGATAAAAGCATTAGTTGATTAATCCTAAAAGTGACTTGACCCAAAGAGTTGAGTTCAATCTCTGGCCTGAGCAGAGAGAACAAATGCTTGGAGAATTGAGTTATCAAGGGGAATTAACTAAAACTAAAATATCCAAAGGCTTGGCACATGAAATTAGAACAATCTACCTCCATGGACTAAATAAAGAATTCAGTTTGAAATTCCAACAAATTTCACCTGAAGAAGAACAATGTGAATGTGGCAATAAAGATGAGAACAACAGTCCAAACAATATAAATAGCATAAATGATGAAGTATTGATTTTGTAGATGATTTGACTCTATAATGACAGGCATCATAAGTTGATTGAAACATTTTCCAACAATTTAAGCATCATCAGTGATTCAAGTTTTAATGTCTGATTGGCAACTCTAGATTTCATGAGTTACTATTTACAAGGGTTCATTCATTTCTTGGAGTATTTGTCTGCAAATAAAAGTGGAAAAATAAGCCAAAGACAGTGCTGTGTCTATACGCATATGTTCCAGGTTTGAATCAGCCAACAACAAAGATAAAGGTGAAAAATTGTTTACAGGAACACAATGTATTGGTTGAAAAATGTTAAAAATTTATTTTCAAAGCATTAATTTACTAACCAGAAGAATGCTCAGTCCTCCAACTAAAAAAACATTTTTTAGTCATTTGTTGTTTGACTGTCTTGATGTTTATTTACGTTTTCGCTCCACACATACTTCTTGGAGAAGAAATGGTGTAAAAAGGTGACAACTTGGCAAAAAATGTGCAACTCCATTATCCATGGAATGCTCCAAGGATTATTATAAAGCTAAAAAAATATTAAATTTAGGAACCTGACATTTCTTTGATTTCGCTGTTTTCTTTATTTTTATAAAGTAAGAGTTGAAATATCGTTTTTATATAATTAAATAATTAATGGATTTATTTTTAATCTGACAGTTTTATTACTTCAAATATTATTAAACAGTATCAAATACAGGCCTATAGATCTAATATACAATGTTTCAAATATAAATAACAATGGGGACTATTTCAAATTATTCATTATAATAATCTTTGACCTAATAAAAGAATAAATTAAAGTGAAAATTCTCATTTTTTACCATTTGGTGTGCATGTTCATGCAACCTTTTCCCACCATTTACAGTATAAGAGAATTTATCACGAATCCCTATGGATTTTTCCCAATGGTTGCCAAGGATCAATGCAGTCCATTCCCAACATATAATGAACGCTCTTGCAACCAATTTCCAGCAGTTATTGGAGATCTTTATGGCTAGCTTGCCAACAATTGTTAAAAAAGTTCCTGCAACCAGTTTCCAACAATTATCAGGGATCCCTGCAGCTTATTCACAATGATTTCATGTACCTTACAGGCCTTTCCACATGCATGAGCCAAGTGGAAAAGTCCAGACTATGCTTGAGATATTTTAAGTTCAAGGACAATGAGCATATTACTAAATCCTCTCATTAAACAAAACAGTGGATTACCCTGGTAATTTTTTTTAAATTGGCCCAAAAAGTAGTTGTTTTGTACTTTAAATAAGAGAAAATGATGGTTAAAAAAAAAAGGTAAGATGATTTTTTATTAGAAGTTTTATTATGACAAAAAGAATAAAAAGCATTTTATGATTAAATTTTTCTCTCTGAACAGTTTTTTTTTTTAAATCAATTAAGAGGGTAATCTATCTCAATAAAATCATTTTTTATTCCGAGATCATCCACTAAGGAGGAACACTGATTTTTTTTTTTTAATAGTAATACTAATCAGGAGTTCACAGCTGGTAATTAAAATAACATTTCTAGTCCCTATTTTTTACGTTTCAAGAAAGATAAAACCGAGAAAATGATCACTTAAAAAATAAAAATGTTTAAAGATTTCAAACATGAAAAATTTTCCCAAAAACTGAAATATTGTTTTTAAAACAAATTTTTAAGACACTCCTATTTGTGTTGTGTTGGAATCTTTGTAAAACTTTTTTTCAGCAGAGATGCATCAGCAATTAATCTTTATTTGCGACTTAAAAATTTTTTCGAGTAAAGTTTAGTCATGCAAATATTGGTGGTTATTACAAAAAGAATAACATTTTTACGGGTGTTTTTTTTCATAAAAAAGTCTATTCATTATAACAGTAAATAATTAATGAATATGTACTGAAATTTTCATTTAAATTGGATAATTCCCTGATTTTTGGTAATTTAAAAAAGCGTGACCTTTCCCCCAATTTTCCTTTCAGAGTTTATGGCCCTCAGGTTAGGAAACTTTGAAATCGAAGTGTAATAAAGAGAGAGGGCTCCAGATCAGTTTTTCAGGGGTGGGGTGAGACCCTAGCACTAGCTATGGGTTGGCAAAACATCAACTAATTGCTAATCGATTCAAACTTTATAAAATAGTAAATAATAAAGATTTCTTTAAAGTTGCTTCACATATTTTAATAATTTAGTAAATGTTTATAAATATATGAATAAAAAATTGTTTTCATATTTACTTCTTTATAAATTTGGTAAATGATAATTATTGAATTGCATTAATTCTAATTGTATAAATTTTTAGAATCTTGTAAATATAAAATTATTCTTATAAATAAACAATGTAATAGTGATTAATATTTTTGTCAATTCTCAAGAACAAAAAATGTATAAATTCACTTTCATCATATGTTTTTGTTCTATTGTAGTTCTAATTATCACTTTTTAAAAACAACATTGCTGAGGAGTAAAGGTAATTAAAATAATAGCAGTGTCAAAGAAAAAACTCACTGTTTTTGTGGGCATGAAGAAAGTTAAAGATTGCCAAAAATTGTTTTTTTTTTTGTTTCCATTTTGTCTAAAACTTTGTCCTTGCTCACATATTCAGTCTATGGGATCCTCAGTATCCTTCTGTAGAAGCACATTCCTGTTGTTTCAAGTTTCGCATATTACATAACAGTTCAGTACTTTTTTCTAAAAAAAAAATTTTTCAATAATTTAAATAAGATAACTTCATCTATTATTGTGTTAGATCTGCCTTCAATAAGATAAAGTAGTAACAAAGGTTTAATTATATTGATTCTATTGTTCAATGAGGTCTGAGCTGTACTTGTCAAAATATTGTGATTTTTTTTTTTTTTTTTTTTTTTCAGTTAAGCTCAATCCATTGATTTGACTCATTTATTTAAGTTCATAGCCTACTTCCAGGATGGTGCCATCCTTCCCATAAACAGTCGTCAAGCCTATGCATCCTACTTGATCTTCAGCATGTTCCTCAAAATTAAGTTGAAACAAAACAGGTGCCACTTGAAGGCTCGAGATGAAATTCTAAAAGAATTACAAACAGTACTAGACGACCTTTACGAAGAAGTCTTCCACAGCATGTTTAGATGTGGAAGGGGGTGCTATCAGTGGTAGGGGCACGGGAACTATTTCAAAGCAGATAGTAGTCAAATTTAAATTATTTATGAAATATATTATTCATCTTCTTTTTATTTAAGCTTAGACAAGAAAATTACAGATACTGATCATTTATAGATATTTATCAAGCTTAGATTATTCATGTAAAGGGCTACAACTTTAAGGCTTTTAGTAAGGATTGAACTCGCTACTCTATTAACAGCTGGTGCAAATAGCTTACAAATCATGAGTATTCATTGTCAATTCTCAGTGAGTGGATATATATTTGGAATATATCTTACTGACAGCCATTAGACACAATAAGTATTTATATAGAGAGTACTATAGATACCATACTATATTATACTATAGATACGATACTATATTATACTATAGATACGATACTGTATTATACTATAGATACGATACTGTATTATGCCATAGATACGATACTATATTATGCCATAGATACGATACTATATTATGCCATAGATAATGATATATTATGTTATGTACTATATTATGCCATATACCATACTGTATTATGCCATATATACGATACTATATTATGCCATAGATACGATACTATATTATGCCATAGATACGATACTATATTATGCCATAGATACCATACTATATTATGCCATAGATACCATACTATATTATGCCATAGATACCATACTATATTATGCCATAGATACCACTATATTATGCCATATTATATTATGCCATAGATACCATACTATATTATGCCATAGATAAAATAATAAATTATACTATGATATAATACTATATTTATTATAGATACCCGTACTATTATTTATTATAGATACCTATATTATGCCATAGATATATGCTATATAGATACCATACTATATTATGCCATAGATACCATACTATATTATGCCATAGATCCCTTACTATATTATGCCATAGATACCATACTATATTATGCCATAGATACCATACTATATTATGCCATAGATACCATACTATATTATGCCATAGATACCATACTATATTATGCCATAGATACCATACTATATTATGCCATAGATAAAATAATAAATTATACTATGATATAATACTATATTTATTATAGATACCATACTATATTTATTATAGATACCGTACTATATTATGCTATAGATACCATACTATATTATGCTATAGATACCATACTATATTATACTATACTATAGATACTATACTCACTGCCATCTGTAGTATAGGCAAGTACAATCAACTGGATAAGACAAATGCCAGATGGTGTACTTGACTATTGATCCAGGGGACCACTCCAGTGGATACCTGTCGTATCCTGTCAGCACTCCCACATTCTTTAAAAACAACTGGAAGAAGCTTAACCAGTGTTGCTGTAAAACTGATTCAGGATATTGAAATACCTCAAAGTAACAAAAAATAAAAAAAAAATAAAAACCCATTCTTTAGTGGCCCTTTCAAGGGTTGGGGAGGATCAAAAACTTTAACCCCAAGCCCCATGGGTCCTCCCCTCCTCAGGCAGAACCTTTCCTTTGGAAGAGGTGTGGATTTATTGCCTGGTGCCTGAGACATCACCAAAAGGGAAAGTGCCAAGGGGTCTTAAGCAATTTTTCTATGGTATTACCAGTAAACCCACTCTAAACTTCGACCTTATGTCACATTCGGTAATGATGTAGGCATGCTAAAAAATACCATCATTCCACAGCCCAAATGACTAGGATCAAAGTGTAGTACCTGTTTCAGCAGCCAACACCTACCTTGGGATAGGTGTTGGGCTGCCATCATTTTAGATGTGGAAGAGGTGCTATCAGTGGTATGGGCATGGAAACTATTTCAAAGGAGATAGTAGTCAAATTTAAATTATTTATGAAATATATTATTTATCTTCTTGCCATCATCTGCAGTAGGCCACCAGCTCCAGCCAGCAGCAACAATATGCAATAAACTGTTGTTTTCAGGACAATGGTCTTCAGCGACTGTAAAACTTTTCTTTTCAGGACATCACTTTTCTCACCCTCGATGAGCATGAAGAGATACTTTTTGTTGATATATGTTTGTGGGTCAATATATCACCCAAAACCCACCATTGCTGCTAATTGTTCAGTATCAGATATAATTTTTCTCTTCTTTCCGTGTAAATTGAAAATAATGTTTAGCTATTTGACTTCATTTACAAAACTGCATCTTAATTCAATCTAGAGATTTAAATCTTTTTTTTTCCTTTTCCAGGATAGATTGTATTTTGTCATGGAGTATGTCAATGGTGGTGATTTGATGTACCGAATTCAACAAGAAGGGAAATTCAAAGAGCCAGTTGCTGTGTAAGTATTATTATGTAATTTTTTTTTCCACTTCCTGTAACTTCTGCTGATTAGGGATTAGTAGAAATACAGGTAGAATTAACTTTAAATTTTAAATATAGATAAAGTTTGGTTAATTAAAGAAAAGTCACTCTCTTTATTTTTAAAAAATCATTTAACATTCAACTCCTGCTGATAAGGTATTAGTAGAAGTACAAGTAAAGTTAATTTTAAATGGAATTGGAGTGTGGTTATTGACTGATTTGTTTTTTTTTTTTATGGCTTATCAACCATTTGGAAGTTATTTAAAGCCAGAAAATATTTTTAGATTGTAAGAATTTTTTGGAGATAACAATAATTGACTGATACCAGTCCTACTATTTAACCCATAGCTTGGGTAGGGAGAAGAGATGGATTCATACCTTTCCCAAGGGTATTTGCACTTGTCAATATAACAAACCCAACTGGAATTGGAACTCGGAGAGCTGAGTTCCAATTCCACCCACACATCCAACGTCCTGGGTAAGACGTTAAACTGCATCCAGCAGCAAGGCCTCTTCTCAGGAGGTTTTGAAAAGTGTGGAACCACCTCTTAATTGCTGGTGTTCCCAGGTCCTCCCTGACCTGGGGTGGTAGCACCTGTTAGGGTCCCAGCTATGGGAAAATACTTAATACTATACAGCAATACTTTTTTGAAAAAGATTATTACCAGCAATACAATTTTGAAGGAAATATATTACCAGAAACAGATTTTTGACAAAACAAAATATTACCAGCAATAAAAATGTTCTATTATACTCATACGAATCTATCCTAAAAATGTCGGCATTAAATAAACCATTGAGGTTGATATGCCTGCCGTTAAACAAAATAAACCAAACCAATCTAAACCAAAGAATACATATTCTATTCATACAAATCTATCCTAAAAATGTTGTCAGAATTAAATAACCCATTGAGGTTGATATGCCATTAAACAAAATAAACCAAACCAATCTAAACCAAAGAATACATATTCTATTCATACAAATCTATCCTAAAAATGTTGTCAGAATTAAATAACCCATTGAGGTTGATTAAAATAAAAATAAACCAAACCAATTAAACCAAAGAATACATATTCTATTCATATGCCTAAAATGTTAAACAAAATAAAAACAAAATAAACCAATCTAAACCAAAGAATACATATTCTATTCATAAAATCTATCCTAAAAATGTTGTCAGAATTAAATAACCCATTGAGGTTGATATGTCGTAAACAAAATAAACCAAAAATCTAAACCAAAGAATACAAATTCAAAAATCTAAAAAATGTTGTCTAAATAACCCATTGAGGTCAAAATAAACCAAACCAATCAAACCAAAGAATACATATTCTATTCATTCCTAAAATGTGGTCACTCATTTGATATGTCACAGTACAAAATAAACCAACCAAATGCACGTCCAAGCTTATTGGTCTATTTAGGTACCAACCAGGCTGGTGATGGTATGGTGATGGTAATTAATAAAATTTTAAAAATATATAAAAATCACCTCTTCTGATTTCTTTACTATAAAGCAAAGCTTGAGGTTTTCTTATTTAAATTGCATAGGTTAATCATGAAGTGGCCAAAAGATAAATTCTTCATAAATTTTAGTTCTAAAAAAAGAAAAGGCTTGAATAAGCTGACCCAAAACCAAATATTAAGTGGGATTTAATTCAAACTATAAAAATTTTTTTTTTTTTTAAATCAGTATCACCCCAAGCAAGGCAGTACAGCCACTAAGATACAGGGTATGGAAGAATTAGGAACAGAAACATTAATAATGAGCAGAAAGAGAAAAAAGCAATCAGGAGGATAGTAGATAGCAATTGACATTGCATTTAAATTTTTGCAGATTAAAGTTGGCTGTAAAGCATGAAGCTGGAAGGGAGTTCCACAAGAGAGGCAGTAAAGACACTAACACCCATGGGGGTACAGGGTGTGAAGGAATTAGGAACAGAAACATTAATAATGAGTAGAAAGAGAAAAGAGCAATCAGGAAGATATTGCATTTAATATATTGATATTGCATTTAATTTTTTTTTTCCTTTAATTGGTATCATCCCAAGCTGGCTGGAATGCATGAAACTGGAAGGGAATTCTACAAATGAGAAGTGTGAAAAAAGAAACTGTTAGCATAGAACTTATGGCTACATCTAGCCTGTTCAAACATAAATTGATGAGATCTCAATGCCAGTCTGGTGCTGTGCTTAAATTCATAAAATCTAGGTACTATAAACAAAGAGCTCATCCTAACAATTATCATTATTTATAGAAAAGGTACAAAGAGGCAATCTTACATTGGTGGGTAAGTGAATGAAGCCGAGCTGCCAAATCAGGACTAATAATATTGCTGATTCTTCTTTGGATCTTATCAAGGAGCTCAAGGTAAATAACAGGGAGCACCAGACAATATGAGGCCTCAATATTCTAAGCATGGGTGAATGGTAGACTTATAGACTAGCAATAGATTCAATATAGTCTTTCCACTTCATGTCAGCTGAAAACGTTAGCCCGAGAAGGCACAACAAGTCCCTTTCCTAAAGGTTAGCATCAGTCATGCTGATGGAAGGCAAAGAATAGTCTTGCAGATGATTAATGGAGAGCAGTTTAGTCTCAAATGCACTAAAATTGACAAGCCATTATTTGCCCTAGTTAACAATGGACTTAAGGTTGTTTTGGACATTGGCTGCCATTTTGACCTTGCCAGACTGGTCAGCCTAACTATTGAGGCAAGAGTAAATGGTTGTGTCATCAGTGTAGAAGCCAAATTGGAAGTTGATGTCATCAGGAAGGTTGTTAATGAAAATTAAAAACAGCATAGGATGAAAGATGTAAAGTGATTTTCCTGTAAAGGTATTTTTGCTAGAAAATTATTTCATTTTCATAAATTTTGCATTAGATTTTATTTCTTCAAAAGAATTTCTTTAAAATGTCTTAAATTTAGATTTAAAGGAAAAATGTCTACAAACATTCTGTGAGGAAAGACAATAAAACATGATATCAAGATGACATCACCTGATAAAAATGGAGACATTGTGTGTTCTTTACCATTCAGTCAATGATGATTATGTCCCTTGAATATTCACATTTATTTTAATCATTTGATGAAGAGGGTGCTGAAAAGTTCACAGCCTGGCTCACTTCCCAAAAAATAACATTTTTTAAGGAGTTTCTTGGCTGGATCAATAATGTTTCAGCACACACCTCATGATTCAATAACCAAATTAATTTATTCCTTACATTCAAATATGTCTATATTTTTGAAAAATAATCATAATTATGCATGTCCCTCCCATTCACTAGTTTGCACGACCATTACGCCCTATTCCATTTTGATCACAAGGAATGACAAGACAGATCAGTGACGCCACTTGGGTTCAGTGAACAAAGAAAAAATGTTTAACGTCTTCTGCTAGTACCTCATAAATAATGGACTATTCTATTTTGATCATGAGAAGACAAAAGACATTACCACTACTTAGTTTCAGTCTGAAAATGAAAGAAAGGAGTGAAGATAGAAATGTTTAACGTCTCCTCTCAATACCTCATAAATAATGAACTATTCCATTTTGATTACATGGAAAAACAAAACACATATCACAGATGCTACTTGGTTTCAGTGAGAAAACGAATGAAAGAAAAAAGGCAAGATAGAAGTGTTTAATGGCTGTTTCAGTAGAATTGAAAAAGTTATCAACTTCAAATCTTTTCATTTGTACCTCCTTACAGCTTAGAATTAAGACCAACATTCGTATTTATGATTGCTATTACAATATTTTGTTAAAGTTGTTAAGCTCAAATATTTAATGATGCAATAGGTAAATTTCTGCCAATATTTTATTGTCATAGAACTTGCCACGAACTTATTCAATCATTAACATTCATCAGAAATTTCAAATAGAAAAACCATGAAATTTTCACACAGGTTAAAACTAGTCATAATGATTTTTAAAAAATTACCTTATGGCTACACGTAAAAATATATTTGACTTACAGATTTGTAAGAAGTGATAGTCATCTTGTTTAGTATAAAATAAAAATTCATGATACAAAATTATGAAAATTTTTGTAGGTATTGTGATATCAGAAAACTATGTCATAGGTGAGTTTTTGGATATGTATGTAAATCACCATGCAAGGGAGATAATTATCAATGATAAACTACAGGCATTTATCATCAGAGCTGTTTCAACTTAAATGCAATGGTAATATTAAACGTCTCCCTACAAAGAAAGACTTGGCATTTAATGACCGAGCAGCCAGTACTACTTTCAGTTGAAATGTATAAAAATCTTTCTCTTAAAACAATTTTTCAGGAAAATATATTTCTCAAGTCAATAAACTGTTACCATTCTTTTCGGTATTGATGGAGGTTTTCTTCCTAGCCTTTTTTTTTTTGAAGTTGTGTGGAACATCAAAATCTTTATTATACCATCATTTTCTTTTCAAGCTACATGTGCTATCCATTTTAGTTGTTGCTGCTGTTGGTAGTCCTCAAGTGATTTGGTTTCTGTTATTCTTTGCTTGTGATTCTGTATCAACAGTCAACTTTTATGTCACTTTTTCCCTTTATGTTTCATGTGCTATCCATTTTAGTTGTTTATATGTTGGTAGTCCTCAAGTGATTTGGTTTCTGTTATTTTTGCTTGTGATTCTGTCAACAGTCCACAGTTCAAAAAAATGGATTTTTGAGCACCTCAATTCATTCCTCAAAACCTCATCTTGATTATGTCACTATTTTCCCTTCATGTTTCATTGCTATCCATTTTAGTTGTTGCTGCTGTTGGTAAAATGATGTGGTTTCTGTTATTTGGTTTATTCTTTTTTTAGAGCATAATTAGCCACAATAATTCTTTATAGCAAAATTAACAATAATACATTCTGTAGAAAAGATTAAGACATTGCAAACACTGTCAAAAATACTTTTTGTACTGAATTACCAACAATACATTTTTAGAGTAAAATTATCAAATATATATATTTATAGTAAAATGACCGACAATACATTTTTATAGTAAAATTACTAACTACTAAAACACATAGCACCTTCAATAAATCAACTACAAACTATATATCTATAAAATATACATTTACTCTGAAAGTATAGAATTATTTACAAAATATATGTTGCATTCAAAATATTAAGAACTCGGCATTAAATAACAGCCAAATATAAATAACACAGAAATGAAGAAGTCCTTGAAGTTTTTCTTTCAATGACAAACTGCAGAAAATGAAATCTAACCATTTAAACACCTTATTTCTCCCTGATTTCCTGGCATTATATCTGATATGTTTTTTTACAAACACTTGTAAAATGAATTCAAGATAATATGACTAACCCCTTTTTTTTTGTTTTTTTCTTTTTAGGTTCTATGCAGCAGAAATTGCTATAGGCCTTTTTTATCTTCATAACCAAGGCATAATATATCGGTGAGTTAGCAATTTCAGACTGGACTTTTTTTTTAATTTACATATTGCTTGCAGTAATCACAGCATTTTGACAATTGTGCCCATCTGGCTTTCATTAGCTGCTTGCTGATCTAGGTAAACTTTTGGGAATTTTGAACTGAACACTTTACATATTCTCTGGGGCTATATTTTTTTCATTCTGCTGGCCATGTTAGTTGAGAAATCAAGGTGAGCATTAACTGAGGAGTACTAAATAAGAAATCAACAAAATTTCCCTAAACATGGTCAGTGGAATAAGAGCAATGTACCTCTATAAAAGATTCAATTTAAAAATTTCATGAATGCTACCAAGACAATAGTCTGAAAATATGGCCCAGGTTTGAAAAGAATCATTGAAATTAATCAAACATTTCTTTTTTGAACAATAGTTAAGAAAAACAAAAATCAACCAAAACAATGAAATAGTTATTTTTTATGTACTTTTTGCACACATATATATATATGTGTGTGTGTGTGTATATATATATATATATATATATATATATATATAAGAAATGGACAAAGTCCAACAATTTATTTATTAAAAGACATTTTATGTTTAACATACTTTTTATAGATACAAGTATTTAAGTAAATGCTCTGTTTACAATAAACAGTATTAAATAACATTTACCGGCCTGAATGTCCGAAAATTTTCATAGAAAATATTCGTCCTTTGACAGAATTGAACCTGCATCCTATCGGAACCATCATTTATGCTGACGTGCCTTAACCGAATCGACAAAGGAGGCGTTGGTAAACAAGGTCAATTTACTGCTTATAAACTTCAATCTTCCATGAATCTACGTACATTCATAAATTCGAGCCTTGCCTACCTAACTCTCCTTTGTGGCCGAGTCGGTTAAGGCACGTCAGCGTAAATAGACGGTTCCGTATAGGATGCAGGTTCGAATCCTGTCAAAGGACGAATATTTTCTATGAAAATTTCTCAGACATTCAGGCGGTAAATGTTACTTAATACTGTTTATTATAAACAGTGCATTTACTAAATACTTGTATCTATAAAAAAGAACGTTAAAACATAAAAATGTCTTATATATATATATATATATATATATATATATATTTAGTTTATGCAAAACTAGGTAATCCGTATGGGTAGACCCAAGGAGGATGATATCCAGAGAGCTCAATGTAAATTCAGAGCAGATATGTTTGAATAAAAACAGACCACTTTAAGGTTCCATGTAATAAGTTATTTCACCACAACCCCTTTAACAGGGCTAACCTTTGGAAGTAAAGTCTGATGATCCAGAGACCTGTTAAAGGGGTTGTGGTGAAATAACTTATTACATGGAACCTTAAAATGGTCTGTTTTTATTCAAAATAAATATATATATATATATATATATATATATATATATATAAAAAGACATGCCTCATTGAATAATTTAGACAAGTTTTGTTTACTTATTTTCAGTAAGATCCTCTCATATTCACAGACAAGCTTCTTAGTAAGAGAGGTAATTTTTCTCTCTGAGGAAGAGAGAAAAATTACGATGTTGATACATATTCATTTATTCTGAGTACTTTTGACATTACCCCAATGTCATCATCAGGGTCTTGTTTTTTCTAAGACAAAAATTATTGTGTTCATCTGAAAGTAAAATTTTTACCTGTGAAGTGAAAAACACTAAAGTTATGTACTGTAGGTTTTAAATTTCACAATGTAAATGTCAGGGGAGATAACTAAGTAATGAAATTCCCAAATTTAAAAAAAAAAAAAAAACTATTAGTTAAAACCTAGATATTTTAAACTACCTGTTGTAAACATTTTAAAACATTTGTGCAATATTCATAATTAATTTATTAAGGGTTGGTTTCAGTTTTTAATATAGATATCATCAAGAAATATATATACTGGACTTTCCTGTCTTTTTTTATGTATGAGGGTCCAGCAGCTCAGTTCTTAGAAACAACAGCCAGACTACCCACACATATCATTTGATTATAGTGGTGAGGGCTTGTGCAGAACTAACCCAACTTTTTGGAAGAGCCGAATACAGAGAACTGGCACACAGTATGCCACAAGTTGCCCAAACGACCATATTCAGGATTTAATTCAGAGTTGTATTTCTCCTAGACTGATTGCCACACAAGGCTATAGAACCCAGTTTGTCCTGCTATTTATTCATGTCTAGGGGGAGAAGAGTTGGAGTCATACCTTACCCATGGGTATTAGCATCTAAGAGAATGCAATGAATGTAATTCAAACTTTGCTCTCCGACACTACCATCCATTACTCTCCCATGCCTCTCTCTCTCTCTCTATATATATATATATATATGGTTGGATTGATGTGAGAAAAACTCACATTAATCCAACCAAATATGCTAGTTCTATCTCTGATATTGAGCGCTTTCTAATAAGTACCACGCATATAATATATAAATAATAATATATGTAATATATTGCACATATTTATATTTATATACACACACTTTTCACACACCTATATATATATATATATATATATATATATATATATATAGGTATATTTAGGCAGCAAGTATTCATCAAAACAAGTTTGATTAAAAAAAAAACCCGACAGTTTTTGTTTAATTTATACTATATTTTTCCAATTTTTGGAAAAAAAATATGAATTTTGGACAGTTTATTCACAATTTCCTAAGCTTGGAGAGGTTAAAATTGTAGCAGCAACAATTCATGTGGGAGTCTGTTTCACAAAATAGCAGTTCTTGAAAGAAGCTTTCTAAGTGAAACATACTTCGTTCCACTGGAATATGTAGGGATTGATGGTAATTCAACTTTGTGGATGTAATAAGGCACTGAACTGGTGGTATTAGAGAATGGAGCTCATCCGAACATGTACCATGGAAGTAGCAATAGAGTAGTGATATGCTTGTGATGTTGCTTAAATTTTATGACCATCCTGTACACCATTTTTTTTTAACACAATAGATATACTTCTTACAGCTCCTTTTCTTAAACATTTCATCCCAAGCAAGGTGATAAAGACACTAAAATGCAAGAGGTCACTGAGTGTTAAGGAATACCAGGAAAAAAAAGCATTATTAAGGACAAAACAATAAAAGAATAAGAATTAAGAAAACTGGAGAAAACGGTCGACATAGCGTTTAAATTTTTTTATGATCAAAGTTGACTGGAAACCAGAAGAGAGTTCCCCAAGTGAGAAGTGTGATAAAAGAAACTGTTAACATAGAACTTACAGTTACATCTAACCATTTCAATTGTAAAATGATGAGATATTGCTGCCAATAAAGTCTAATTACCATAGAGGATATTAATATTTATTTTGAAAATACAAAAATGTGGCACAAGGCCAAAAGGAGGGATAGGGAAGGCAGGTATTCAATCTTAAACCTAGCTAGCCACAATTACTGACCCAAACATAACACAGTATTCCTTACACCAAAAGAACACATTCTTATTTACCTTTCTTACTACAGCCACCATAATACCTCAAAGTCTTAACTTTTTCCCAATATGTACCCATCCTGGATATGATGATAAACTACATCCATGTCTTGGGTATGATGAGAAACAACATCCAACAGCCAAGGCCTCTGATCAGGAGGTTTTGAGGAATGTGGAACCACCTCTTAATTGCTGGTGTTCCCAGATCTACCCTGACCCGGGGTGGTAGCACCTGTTAGGGTCCCAGCTATGGGCAAATATTTAATCCCCAAACTGGAGTCAAAACCCAGTGAGAGTGTAAAAATATGTTTTAATATCAGAAATACTTTGTAAAAAAAAATTATTACCAGCAATAACATTTTGTCAACATTAAATAACCCATTGAGGTTGATATGCTGTAAAACAAACCAAACCAATATGTACAATTTGTCTGTGTTGGGTGAGGAATAAAAATACCATGGAAGAAAGTTCATCAGAACAATTACCATGAAAGTATTTATAGAAAAAGGCACAGGGAAGCTACATTATGGCAGTGGGAAAGTGACTGAAGCCAAAATGCTTTGTCTGAAATAATTTGAGATCTAAAGACACAACAGATATTGATCTAGATTTAATTGCTCTTGTATAATTTAATTTGTATTTTTAAATGTTTTTTGTTTGTTTGTTTCAGTTGGTTGTATGTATCTTTCATGATCAAAACTAAATCTTTTTTTTTTTCTTTTTTTGTAATCACACTCATCAGAGATTTAAAACTTGACAATGTGATGCTGAATGCTGAAGGACACATCAAAATCGCAGATTTTGGAATGTGCAAAGAAGGAATCATAGGGGACAAGACAACCCGAACATTTTGTGGTACACCAGATTATATAGCGCCAGAGGTAAATTATTTTTCATTATACTCCTCCTTTGTTGCTTTGACTCGTATGTCAGTCTTCTATCGAGTATGGCTATCTCTTAAGGTGGCTAGCCAATACCTATTGCAGACAACTGCTCAGGCACATTTGTGTTTATTCAACCCTAGCCCACAGAGCCCACCTGTGGTTTATACTGCAACTATGCCGAGCGGACCTTGGTTACAGTTTCTAGGAGAGAGCTCATTATCTGGCATGATCAACAGTCTGAACAAGGCGAGTCCCCTCAAACCCTCAGTCATGATGACTTGCAACTTTGTGCTAGCTCAACTATCGACAGCCATCAAATAGTTCTGCCTGCCCAATTTCATTCACAAGGGTTGGGTCAACCTGTGGTATGTTTTCAGACCCTTTCCAAAGGTGCCACATGTTGGGATCATCTCCCCCCCCCCAGCTTGATAACATCAAGAAGTCACCTTCCTGACAAAACGACCATGGTGAGATTCAAATCCAAGTTTTATTGCCAGAAGATGGACATTCTAACCACTTGGCCACATGTCCATTCCATTATGTCAGTAGCAGTAGTAGAAAACACTAAGCTAAGTCTGACACAAGGCTTCAACAGAAGGGCACCCAATGAAAATGAAACTTGGTAGCTATGGCCTGCAAAACTTCATGCTCATTGACTTAGGAGATATTCGTTTATCTTCTTCATATAGATGCTATATCCATAGTATAGCCAGTCGTTACTCTCCACAATTTCTTGTTTTTTGTCACTATAATTTTGCCACTTTTCTATTCCACTTTGATCTTGTTCTGAAAAAATTTACCACACCACAAATTTCCTATATACAGGGTGTCCATAAAGTTCGTGTGCACTTTAAACAATTCTAACTTTATTTGTATTTGCAATAGAAATAGTTTGTAAAAAGGATTAGAAAGAAGTAAATCTATATTTTTTAAGGTTTTATTGAAATTTTATTTAAGTTTACACAGGTTCTCCATCATTAGCAATACAAAGGGTAATACGATTTTGCAGTTCACAGAAAACATTTGCCAACTGATTTACAGTAATGCCTGAAATAACATTAGTTATTTTAGCTATACTTAATACTAGGTACATTAAACTTTATAACATTTTTTACAGATTATTTTTATTGCATACAAATAAAGCTATAAATTTTTAAAGTGCACACGAACTTTATGGACACCCTGTATTATCAATATCAATGTCTGAGAGAAATTTCCAGAGTCACTGTTGTAACCTATGGAAAGTTACTAAATAGAATAATCACACGAAGGTTGGTAATGAATGATAATACTTAGGACAAGAACAACACATAAGATTTGCCAGTGGCACATAGAAGAAGTAAACTGCTAAAAGTGAGTCAAGTGAATTCCACAATGAATCTCCAACTGCAGACCAACATACAGTATTTACTACCATATTTATGTGAATGGGGACATACCCATTATTGTCTGTAGGTATGCTACAACAGCCACTCTCAAGAGTAACAACCCCAGGGCCAACCTTCAACCTCTTCATTTTACTGGGTAGCAGCTTGTAAATTTTAATGTCTCCAGAACAAAACTGCTTTCATTTAATCACCACAGAGAACCTTTTCTTCCTGCTATAAAAATGGCTGATGCTACCCTCCAGGAGAGCAAAACTCTACACCTTTTTGGCTTCCTGTTTTCCACTGACATGAAATGAAATGACTATCTCTATGATGTCATTAGTTGCCAACTAGGTATTTATGCAGATGACACTACTATTTACTTCCATCTTAGTAGCAAATCCAATAGATCCAACAAATTAAACCTGGAAACTACTCTTGAAAAGGACCTTTAATTACCACAGAACTTTTTTCTGTCTGTTATCAGTATGGCTGTTGCTAACCTCCAGGAGAGCAACACCTTACGGCTTTTTTGTCTCACGTTTTCCACTGATATGAAATGGAATGATTATCTCTGTGATATCATCAGTTCCCAACTAGGTATTTGTGCAGTGGTTAACTGGAGCAAGAAATGGCTTGTAAATTTCAAATCTTCCAAAACAAAACTACTTTCATTTAACCACCATGGAGAACCTTTTTCTGCCTCCTATCAGGATGGCTGATGCTGAACAGGCGAGCAACACTTGACACCTTCTTGGCCTCGTTCTTTCCACTGACATGAAATTGAATGACTATATCATGTTAATTGCTACATTTTCTGAAAGGAAAGTTGGTTCACTGTGTTGTGTCAAACAGATTTTCTTATCAAAATCCATCTTGCATATTTATAAATCAACCATTCATCCACATATTGAATACTGTTGCGTTATCTGGTCTGGTATTTATGCTGTACATCACAAGATCCTTGATAAAATCCAGAGAAGGGTGTGCTATGCAATCGATTCTGACCAGGCATCTTGTCCCAAGTCACTTTTTCACCAACGTGATGTGGCTTCACTCTGTCTTTTCTCCAAATATTTTCATGGTAACTGTTCTGATGATATTTTCTCCCTGGTGCCCTGACTTACATGAATTTAAGTGTGCTACTAGGTTGACAACTAAGTCTCACCATTTTACTGTTGAACTAGCTAGATGCAACTAACAGTTCTACTCTAACATTTTTTTTTCTCACTCCTCCCACCTGTGGAACACCCTTCCAATTTCTTGCTTCCCTGATAATTAAAATCTTTATAAATTTAAGTGCAGCATCAATCGCCATCTTCCATTTTCTTGAACACTTTACTTTTTTTTTCTTTTTTTTTTTTGTCATTTCCTCAATTCTTCCCATTCTCAGTTGGCTCATTTTCTTTCACTTTCACTCCCTGTAATTCCATTGCTTGCTTGGAGTGAAAGGGTTAAAAAAGAAAGCTGATGATAATTTTTTTTTATCTAATGTTACTTTTAATAAATGCTAATATTAGATGTTTTCTTTTATTAATAGTACAGAAAATATAATAATCCTGTTTTTTGTGTTTTTATTTTCCATCCAGATTGTATTATATCAACCTTATAGCAAATCTGTTGATTGGTGGGCTTATGGTGTCCTACTGTACGAAATGTTGGCGGGACAGGTAAGTTAAACATGACTAAATCTTTTTACAAATTGAAATGCTAAAGCAGCAACTTTTTTGTCTTTTTTATATTTATATGTTATTAAAAAAACTACTTTAAATTTATATCATGTATAAATATATATATATATATATATATATATAATGTTAATAAAAAACTACTTTAAATTTATGTCATATAAATAAATATATATATATGTTAATAAAAACTACTTTAAATTTATGTCATATAAATATATATATATATATATATATATATATATATATATATATATGTTAAAAAAAACTACTTTAAATTTATGTCATATAAATAAATATATATATATATATATATATATATATATAATATTTATATGTTATTAAGAAAACTACTTTAAATTTATTTATACCCCTTCATTAATGGATTTATTCTTAATCTGACATTTAATCGGACAGATTAAAAAAAATCCTTTAATTCTTTAGGAATTGTTCTGTGGATGTTTCAGATTTGAAACTAAGCAGATATGGGCTTTCAAGAAAAAAATATCTAAGTGAGAGAGTGTACTTTCCTTAAAAGGGATATTAGTTTTGCTTTCTGTGACACTCTTTGTAGCTGGGCAGTAAAGCACACCAGTTCAAATGGTGGTTTCTCCTATAAAGAAGGATGCGGGTTCAGTCCCTGCCAGAGAGCACAATTTCTTTATTGGAATTTCTCAGTTGTGCAGGCCGGTAGATAAAATACACAATTGTTTAAAGAAAAAAAAGAAAAGTGCATTTATTTCAAATACAAATATCCACATTGCTTGAAGTAATTTAAAAAAAAAAAAAGCCTACATAAGATATATAAGCTGACACCAAAGCTTTTAATGTACACTGGAAGATTTGGTGGACTTCCAGAAATAAATTTCTAAGGTTGATAAATAACAAACTGTTCAACTCTTAGAGCAGCAGTCAACAACCTTTTGGAGAGCGCAGGCCAGAAAGCTTTGCAGTGTCTTGGAGGAGGGTCATTATATAAAATATACTATAATAAATTGTCTTGACTTCAGACCTATCTTACTGCCTTGATCTGGAAGTTTACATAAAAAACAATGAAGTTAATGTTATATTATTTCAACAGGGTTTCTTATTTTACTGCAGGAATAATAATAACACAAACAACAAAAAATACAAATTCCTTACTACAAACAAAATACAGTTAGAAATGGCAAATTATTTAATGAAAGATTTGTTTCTTCTTATTGTTCAAAAACTTCTCCATATCAGGTGAAATATTTGTCGATGACAGGAGCAAAATGTCACCCAGGTGATTATCATCTAACCTTGTTTTTAAGCAACTTTTAGTATATGTCATTTTTCAAAAACGTTGTACACAAGTATATATAATTTCAAATAATGACAGTTTCACATTATTCAATAGGATTTAAATTTTCCGCTTGGCAAAACATATTTCTTGTAGAAATCAGCAGTGGATTTTGAATTAAATTTTGATTTGAAAAAAAATTGTCACATTGTAAGCCAGTTAACTCAAACTGATATTTTTTCTGAAACTTGCACTACAAATCAATTAGATAATTAGTGTTCAGGTGTTAAGTTGGGCTGGACAAAAAATCCTTCACAGGCCGGATGTGACCTGTGGGTGGGAGTTATCAACCTCTGTCTTAGAGTTACCATTAGTTGCATTAGTTTTAACTGTACTAGTTTTTAGAATCTTGTCAATATAAAATTATTTGGTTAATTTGCAGTGTAACACTCATGCTCAGTTTGCATTAATAATTTCCTATACTTACATATATGTGTAATTGTACTTGCTCCATTTGAATCTGGCTTGACAAATTTGATAAAATCTACCATTTTGGAGTTACTGACAGTGAAATTTGGGATTCATTCATGTTGTGGGCAGCCATTACAGGAGTTGTTTGTATACATTCACTGCAGAATAGCTATCAGTGCAAGTATCATTGCCCAAACTGAGCATGTCTACATAAATAGTTCTCGTGCACAGTAACTGAGACAAATTTAGACAAGAAAGATCAGTTCCACACTTAGCTTTTCATAATCTTCTGCATTTAACTTTCTGCAGCAAATGTATGCAGACAACATTAGTAATGGCTGCTGCCAATGACATGATTGGATCCCAAATTTCACTGTTGATAACTCCAAATTTATCAAGCCAGATTCGAATAGAGTATGTACAATTACACATAAATGCAAGTATTCTGGAAATTTTTAATATGAACTAAGTGTGGGTGTCACACTGCAAATTAACCAATTATTCTTGTAAATAAACAATCTAATAAATGAATAGTGTTTAATATTTTTGTTGTAACTTCTCAAGAACAAAAAAATATATAAATTCACATTCATTATATGTTTAGGTTTCATTACAATTCTAATCATTGCTTTTTAAAACAATAAACATTGCCGAGGAGTGAAGGTAGTTAAAATAATAGCAGTGTCAAGGGAAAAACCATCCTTTTGACACACTGATCTTTTTGCAGGTCCAAGTTTGCCAAATTTATATTATACTTTGCCTTATTTGAATGTACACAAAAATAGAAATGACTTCTCACTAGATTTATTCAAATCTACAGCAAGGTTATCCAAAGGTAACTAGAAGTCCTACCAGGATTTATTATTGGCAGATACAATCTTAACAGCATAAGATATGCAGATGACACAGTGTTAATAGCAGAAACAGAAAGAAAACTGCTTGAACTTTTAGAAACATTAGTAAAAGAAAGTGGAAAGAAATCACAAACTATCAATTATAAGAAGACAGGCTGTATGGTTGTCAGCAAGAAGAACAGTTCAGGATACAAGCTATGAATTGGAGATATCAAAATCAAGCAAGTACAAAAATTTAAATATCTGAAGTGTTTCAACAGACAACAGAAATTGCAACACTGAAATCCAAATGTGCATTGGGACAGCGAATGAGACCTTCTGAAAGTTAACCAAATTCAAGAAAATGTAATTCCTCCTTCCAGAGGTGATATGCATGAAGCAATCATGTCTCTTTTTGATTCATGATTAACTTGGCATAATAATTCCCACAATAAGCTGCCATTACTTTCTGCAGTGGACAGGTTGTTCTTAGCAATGTTTTACTCTTACTATTCCTCTTAGTCCCTGTTCTGCCAGCCATTTACACAAGATCATTAGGTAGGTGATCATGGCTCTCCACTACTTCCTATCTTTCGTAGCTGAAAGTCATATTCATCTCTTTACTATCCCTCCCAGTCTCTGTTCTGTTATCCATTTACACAAGCTTATGTAGATGATCATGGCTCTCCACATCTTCCTATCCTTAGTAGCTCTAATATTTGACTGCCATTCATTTACACAAGCTCATTAGGCAGGTGAATATGGCTCTCCCCATCTTCCTATCCTTCATAGCTTTAAGCAATATTTGTCTCTTCACTATCCTTCCCAGTCCTTGTTCTGCTATCCATTTACACAAATTCTTTAGGTAGGTGATCATGGCTCTCCACAACTTCCTATCCTTCATAGCTCTAAGTAATATTTGTCTCTTTACTACCCTTCCCAGACCCTGTTCTGCCATCCAGTTACAGAAGCTCTTTAGGTAGGTTACTCAATGTTTACTTCTGTCCCTCTTGTCTTCAATATATTTTATGAGTGTCAAATTTTCCACGACCTCTCTTTATAATGTCCTATAAATTTCAAGTGTCTCTTTCTGATTCTAAGTATAAGTGTCTTTTTGTTTCCATTTTCCTTAAAATGTCCATGTTGCTCCCAGGTTCCACCCATGTTATTCTCAGCATCCTTCTGTAGAGCAACATCTCTGTTACCCCAAGCCTCCTCTTCATCTTTGAGGAAACTATCCAGCACTCACTGCTATATTTTTTAATCATTTCACCCCAAGCAAGGTGTTAAAGCTACTAAGACACAATGGGTTACTGAGTGTGAAAGAATAAGAAAAAAAGAGAAACATTTTAAGGAGCAAGAACAATAAAGGAAGATGAATGAAGAAGACAGTAGATAATGATTGACATTGCACTTAATTTTTTGAAGTTGGCTAGAAAGCATGGAGCTGGAAAAGTGTTCTACAAGTGAGAAGTGCAAGAGAAGAAACTGTCAACATAGAACTTACAGTTGCATCTAGCCAATTCATCTGAAAATCAATGAGACCTAGCTGCCAATCTAGCACTGCACTTAAATTTATAAAGTCTAGATACCAAAGAGAAAAGTTCATTAGAACAATTACCATGAAGATATTTATAGAAAAAGGCACAGGAAAGTTACATTATGGTGGTGGGAAAGTGACTGAAGCCAAGATGCCAGATCAGGACCAATAATATTGTTGATGATTCTTTGGATTTCATCAAGAATTTCTAAATATATAGCAAGAGCACCAGGTCAATAGGAGGGTTGAGCATTTCATCACTCATTTCTTTGTTTCTAACAAAATTTTCTCATTTCTTAATACTTTGTTTAGTTTTAGGAAGGCATCTTTTGCTATTTCAACCTGCCTTCAGATTTCTGTGCCGTCATCTTCAAAAACACTTCTCAAATATTTAAATTTCTGTACTTGCTTGAGTTATTTTAAATTCTATGTTAGATAGTTCAACATGAGATACAGTATCATGCAAAATAGCACAAGAATCAACTCATAGACACCCACAAATGGCTGGAGAGTACAATACCTGTAAATTGTTTTTTTTTTTTTCACAGTAAGGTTCACCCTGTACAAGGCCTGGGAGTTACTCAAGGTAGAGGGTTATGTTAGGTGGCAGTTTGTATGGATAGGAGAGGAAGGTAACTGTTAACCCTAGACTTGAACAGGTTAAGATTGTATTGATCAAGGAAACAGAGTAGTGGCTCATGGGAAGAAGCTCTTCAAGTGGAACTTACTTCTCACCAACGGAATACACAGGAAATGTAGGCCATTTGCTACTATGCAAGTGGCATAGAAGGTTAGGCTTGGCAGAACAAAGGAAAGTAGTGCATCCGAGCGCTTTCCATGAAAGTAGTGAGCGATACTGATAGGCCTGCTACAT